GTGTTAGTGGTTGGTAAAAGACAAGAGTTTTTATCCTGATTTTCAAAGGTTGCAAGCCATAGTAAAGAAAGTTAGAAACGTAAAGTAATCGTCTTCCCCGCAACACTGGTTTCTGTATCAGAACAGAATTTAATAAATACAATAGTCCTCCCCTTCTTTATCTACTAGATCCACCCTACCATGTGGATTCCTGATACTGGAAATAGTCACAAAACCATATGTATATACTATATTTTTTCTATGATATAGTTTCGATAATAAATTAGGCACAATAACAAATTCAAAACGGTCGCTAACAGATATCTTGGTGATGTGTAGTGGTTAGCGAGTTTGTTTGGCTAACCATTAGTAATCATTTCGATCCTTACTGGGTGTTGTGGATTCCAGGTTGAAATCCGGTACCAATAAATAACAGACGCCATGAATGAATATATAAAAATAATGTATTAACGTAATAATACAAACTGGTAAAGCAGGTTAGTAGTTCCAAGAATACGGGTTAGTAGCAATATATATATATACAGTCTTTGGTATCGAAGTATCGCTGTATGACTTCTTACTGAGTCTACGTGCTCGCTCACTGTGACTCCTAAAACGCTGTTACCTCACCCTCACTCTTCCGGTTACCTACAAACTTTTACTCTGTCACTCTGGACTCGACTCGACTCTTCGGTCTTGCTCGCTATTTATCGATCCACCCACGAGGATTGAATGTGGCACAAGGCCGGTTTAATGTGGGTATCTCCGAGCCCGTAGGCTCGGCCAAAAATATAGCCTTTGAAACCGCCTAGACGGGTTCAGGCACTGTCTACCTCCCCGAACGAAACCTTGCCCTTCGGCAAAGTTTCGTCCGGGTTCCTCTCTGCTAATGCAGAGAGTTCGACAGACGTCGCTTACAGTCAAAGACTGTATCACGAGAGCTAGACTCGGAGGTCTGGCTCTCTCGGGTCTTCACGTCGCCGTAGTATATGTATATACTGGGTGAGTCCATTTGTGTAAAAATGGGAGAACCCCTCAATACTGGGTATCTACGATTTATTACTGATTTTTACACAGTAATTATATCCTTACTGAGTGTCTATATTTGTGGCTCTGGGGTAATCTTAACTAAAATTAGTGATAATAAATTATAGCAATAGATTGTAATAAGAATCATGTGACGTGAAGATGAGTGGGTCTACCGTAAAATTTCAATATCTAATTTTTTTCTATCATTGTCAAATCGGTAACTTTTTTATGTTTTCACTTAAAGAAAGCACTTTTATTGCTGACATATCTGAATAACAAGAACCACTTATCTTACACTCTGTGACTATTATAAAAAAATAACTTATCAAATCTTGCTGTCATATATGGTCTGGTGCCCCCGCTGTACGGCTCGATGTCCTTGACAAAATCCACAGACGAATATGTAATGCGATAGGTACAGATCTGGCATCTCGTATAATATAGTCGCTTTCTCACAGACGTGCCGTGGATTCTCTCTGTCTCTTCTACAAGTATTTTCACGGCAACTGTTCCGAAGAGCTACTTTCGCTGGTTCCCAAACTGCATGAATTTAAGCGAGCTACTAGGTTGGCATCTCGATCACACCCTTTCACTGTCGAAACAGTTAAATGTAACTGTCTCTTCTACTCAAACAGTTTCTTCTCTCGCACTTCCCGTCTGTGGAACTCCCTTCCCCTTACTTGCTTCCCTGATAACTATTATCTTCAAATATTCAAGTGTAATGTCAATCGACATCTTCTGATACCTTGATCTTGTTCCCCGTCCTTCTCTGTATCCTTTCCTCAAACACGCTTCATTACTTTTGTTCTCAATCCTCTGTAACCCCTTGCGTGCTAGTGGCACCACCGCCTTGCTTGGGGTTAATTGCTTTAAAAATAATTATTATTTTTTGGGATGACCCGAGTAACTAAACCCGCATTAAGCGTTAACCGTAGATAAACAAATCGAAATAGCTAAATGATAGACTGTTCTTACAACGAGTCATATTTCCAAAATGTGTGTTTAAAACTGTTAATCCCCTTCTAAAAAAAAAAAAAAAAAAACTTGACGCCATTATTTCTATCCTATTTCAGGATGTGACATAATTCGTGAAACGAGAAATGCTTCCGTCTTGTGAAGTCATGGGAAAAAAATTGAAGGCCAAAAAGAGATAAATAATGACAAACTTTAAAAAAAAAAGCTTTTATCACTTAAAAGAATTCGCATCCATTAATAATTAATTAGCATCCATAATTAATTAATTAGCATCCATTAATTAGCATCCATAATTAATTAATTAGCATCAATTAATAAGCATCCATAATTCGTGAAAAGAGAAATGCTTCTGTCTTGTGAAGTCATGGGAAAAAATTGATGGCCAAAAAGAGATAAATAATGGCAAACTTTAAAAAAAAAAAAGCTTTTATCACTTAAAGGATTTTTCCGTCAATTCTACAAAATGTTTATCTGTCCTTCTTTACGGAAACGAATGTTGGGCGATTTCCTCAAAGATGAAGAAGAGACTCGAGGCGACGGGGATTTGGTTCTACAGAAGGATGCTGAGGATATCATGGACCGATGGGGTTGCAAACAAGGAGGAGGCTTATATTTAACATCAGGAAGAGGCAGCTGAAGTTTATGAGGAAGGAAGGCCTGGAGAATCTGATACTCACGGGTCGAATAGAGAGAAAGAGAGACAACGGAAAACAACGCGTGACATACCCGGCGGGCTTAAGCCAGTGGAACACAGAATGTGGTTTGAGGGAGGAAGCAGAGGGAAGGAACTTGTTGAGAGCTGCAAGGGATAGAAGGAGGTGGAGAGCCATGATTGCCTACGTTCCGTAATGGACATGGCACATAAAAAGAAAGAATGAATTAGCAAAGTTTATAACACGATAAAAAAAGCCAAGCTGAAATAATCAATTCAAAGCAATCTTATTCTTGTTTATATAAAAACAAATTTAATGAACTCAAATAGTCTATATGTCGGTGGGGGGGTGTAAACGGTAGTGTCAGAGCTATGCCGCCCGGAACTTCGTTCCTGGTAAAGCCACCCAAGGCGGACAGGTCTGACCACACGCCGGCTAACAAGGGCTCTGGTGAAAATTCAAGGAGCGTCTGCATCGGTAACCGGCGGCTTCTGGTCGTTCCTGTCTCTGCGTCTGTGGGAACCCCGCGGCAAGCAAGAACGTTATCAGAGTAGGCCTGGGTACCCTACTTCTGTAATTTATCCCAAGAATCTGCTTCTCATAACAGGAAGAAGCCGGCTCAATCCGCCCAGGGTGAATGCCGCATCAGTCAGTCAGTCAAATAGTCTATATACTCTAGTATAATGCGAGCGGTTCGGATTGAGGAATCGGAGAGCAGAGTTCGAATTCCAGTCGAATCCATTAAATTCACTTACGTGCTAATATCCTTGGGAAAGGTATGAATTCTCTTCTTCTCCTTCAGCTATGGGTAAATAACAAGACATACCGGGTTCTATAGCCTTTGATGTAAACTGGTCTACCGCAGAAAGAAATGACAACCTACTGCAGGAAAAAATCTGCCTCGTCACTCATTTATTGAAAGATACGTGATCTCCTAAGAGTGCGCCACGCATGACACATAACTGACTGATAACTTTTACCATCGACTGGTATCTTGAAATAACCCAAAACTTTACTTACTGATCCAACGCGAAACTTATTAAATAATTTCAGTTTAATCTGGCACAAGGCCACAATATCAGAGTACTATTGTAGAGTCAACAAACAACTAATGAATCGTAAGACAAGCATTTGCGAAAAATCGTGTTCGGTTTATTATCTTCAAATAAAAAGTATTGTTTTTATTTTTGGCATTAATTTTATTAAACAACCTTTTTTTTCACTGTCTTCTCCCTATTTTCCAGACAACTTCATAATTCCATCCTCTCAGAACCATTTTTTTTTATCTTTATCAGCAAAGTCTTTTACTTCCGGGACATTGAATTTTTTTTCACTAAAAGATTTCAATAAAGATTACACTAACTGATAATTGAAAGATTTAATATCTGATGTGAGAAAACTTTCTCGCCAAAATGTTGTTTGGCCATCAAAGAAACATGCAATCAAGCGTTAATTTAATGAAATATTAACTCCTTAATTTTAACTAATCACAGAAGGATGTTTTCCGCTCTTTGACACCTTCAATTAATCTAATTTGGAAGAAAACGTTCTCGAATCAATTGTGTAGTTCATCAGGAGTTCATAGCAAAGGATGCGTTTTCAATCGTTCCATAGACACAGCATCATTTTCTCTGGATGAAGAGCGGCTTTCGAAAATAATTTTTTTTTTTACCTATTTGTTTATATATATTATATAGATGTTGGCTTTTCACATTATCCTAAACCAAAAGGTAAAGAAGGAAACTCCTATCAATGCTAGGAGGAGCGATAAGTTACTCAACTTGAGGAGTATATCTTTCTGAAAAAATATTTTAAGAAAAAGATCTTAAAATTTTCAACCAACAGTAACGCTGTTTGCTCAATGAATGCCGAATGTTTCCTTATAAAGAAACAGTTAACCTCACCATTTCTATTACTATTATACTTAATAAATAGAACAAGCTTCTTTGAGAGATATGTACCAAACAAATAGGCTTATTGGTGTTGTTTTTGTTTAGCGGCATATCAAAACTTCTATGAGTTATTTAATGCCGAAATCTAAATATTTTTATTTTAGAGATAATTATGGTTTAGTGAAACAAGTTTTAATAATTAACCCATAGCTAGAGGTAGAAGAGATAGATTCATATATTTTCCAAAGGACATTTGCGTGTTAGTGAATATAACGAACCCAACTGGAACTGGAATTGGAATTCGGTTTTCTGATTAATAATTCCGAACCATTATCCATTAAACCACCCGCAAATTCAAGCTTACGGCATCTGATATTCCCAAGCGATCACCTATCTAGATACTGACCAAGCCCAATGGTGCTTAACTTCGGAGATTGTACGGGAATCGATGTTTCAACATGATGTGGCTGTAAGCCACTAATAGGTTTGTGAGACTATTATATTGTGATTAAAGTCATTCCGCTCCTCCTCCTCCTCCTCCTCCTCCTTCTCCTTAAGTACTATGTCTCTTCAGGAAGTAGGCGACTATGTCTCTCCATATCTTGCTTTTTCTCTTAATATCTGTAAACTGTGCATTGTCCTGATTATTTCGGAAAAAGAAGAATTCGGTTCCCGTTACCTTCGCTACGGTTTTCCATTCAGAACTGTCCTTCTCCTAGATTGGTCGCGAACCAAAGCTGAAGAGTCCGGTCTGGTTTACTCATAGCTGGAAGAAGAGGTAGATTCATGCCTTTCCTGAGGGCATCAGTGTTAAGTAAACTTAACAGCCTCAGCCAGAATTTGAACCCAGCCTGTCAATTGCATTTTACGCGGGAATAACCATTATGCCACATCTTGTGAACGAACACTATGCAATAGAAAAGATGTTTTCTTGTAATATGCAGATTAAATTTTCCCCAAATAATTTGCGGTCGAATCGAAATTTATAGCACATTCACTTTTTTTCTTCTCTCTGTCGTTTAAATAAGCGGAAGTCGAATCTTGAACTGTTTTTTTTATAGTTCATCAGATTTTGTGGTATTTACACAGTCGGTTGCATTTTCCATGTGTAGATGTAAATCAGAGAAAATAAAAAACAAATATCTCAGTTTTACGAGCGTGCTTAAATAACTAAATATGAATTAATAGGGAACGCCGAATAATGTTTTTGCGTGATGGTGGCAAAGTGTAGTTCGCCTCGATACGCGAAACCCAACAATCTCCTACTAAATGGCTTCTTCACTCAAAAAGAAAAGGTCAGGGCGTTATCTGATTTCTGTGGTTAACACCACCTGCTCCCGAGACAGAAACAGTGCCCTCATTAAATAACCGATTTTTGTCTTACATTTTTCATCGCGTGAATATAAACAAACCATACTAATTTCTCAATGCACAGATTTACAACAAATACAGACATGTATTAAAACGCACACATATCTTGCGCGTGCGCCTCTCGTGCAATTGTGTTTGTGCTCAAGGCGATAAAATATTCGATTCTTAAAAGGGCGCGCCAAAAATCCTGTGCTTATGAAGGCGAATCTGGAGTAGCAGGTCGAAGCGAATAATTGACACAAAAAGGCAGAGGTATCTTATATCCATTCACAGGCTCAGGGTTAATTAATTACTGACCTTTGATGTCCCAATCGTAACACCGATAATTCCTCTGTGTGTTCGGCAATCCGTGTTATGAGGACCTTTTTTAGGACAACTCCCACTTTATTGATTCGCGGGTTAAAAGTTTTCCATAAAGAAACGATTTACGAGAACAAACAAAAAAGAGCGGCAACCTTTTCCTATAATTAAATGCGATCTAAAAATGAAAGAAATAAGGCGTGATGAATTTTGATATATTTTATAAATAGTTTTTACAAACATATTGTTTTCGATAAAAGCTGAGAAAATTTCTCAATAGAAAAGAGAAGATTCAAATTAATGCATAGAGTGCTTAACTAAAGATGAAAATAATTCCGTTAAAGATTTAGGAGAAATTAATGATTTTTTTGTATTAGTGTTTTTTTGTTTGTTTTTTTTTTTCTCATATTCTCTAACAACCGGCAACTCTTTGCATCTTACTGGCTTTATTGTCTTGCTTGGAATGAAATGTTTAAAAAAAAGAAAAAGAAAAATACCAAACATTTAATTTGACGAAAGTGTACAAGCAATTCATAGACACACTAAGATATTTTGATTTTCTTTTCATATTTGTAATTATTCCTTGTTTCAAAGATGACCAAAACACAATTTTTACCGCCTATATTTCTCCACATTGCGATGTTGCGAAAGTGAATTCTACACCAAAATTGTGACACTATGAGTTGGATATATACGCACGCGTGTGTGTGTGCGCCCGCACATCTGTGTGTGTGTGCATATATACACCCACATATCTGTGTGTGCGTGCGCGCGCACACATATGTGCGAGAAGATTAGTTAGATTTGACCTGGGTATCAAACTTCAAGACCCAATGACTAGATTAGGAATCTAGATAAAAACATGTTTTGGACATATGACCAAAAGGGTAGATAAGTGTTAAGTACTAAATAGTTAAAAAGACCGGCTCTGGTCAAAACTTAAAAGGGTCTGAATTTAATGTCCCTGGATCGGAGTCAGCTAGGCTAGGAAATATTTTTATGTCCACTTTCTTCAAAAGGAGAAATGGTCATCAAATGTTATGGGTTTATTCGTGGGTGTCCCTTGCCCGGAAATGATGAAAGAGGACTCTGCATATATATGCGGGAGCGCTTTGGGTTTCACGAGAGATAGACTTAGTTTAGGTTCGAGGAAGGTTGATTCAGGCCGGGGCAAGTAGCAACGAAGAGCGACACCCTAGCAGCCGGACATTGTTAGTTAGGATATTTTTTTTTTTGCCAGCCGAGTATCAGCCCAGAGTTAACTATCCACAAAAGGTCACACGCCCTCCCTCTTCTTTTCGTTCTACCCAAGTTTTTTTTGTGTTTTTCTTTTGCATGTGAACCTGCCTTTCGCTCGATCCACCGCACAGAAATTCTACGACGTGGGGTCTATATATTGTGCAACGAGTGCAGAGGTGGGTAGTCTCACAAAATCAAACAAGAACAAAAATTTAAATATCTAGGAAGTTCATTAACAGACGACGGAAAATGCGACAATGTGATAAAGAAAGATGCCTTCCAAAAGAATAAATATTAAGAAACAGAAAAAATCGTTAAAGATAAAGAAAAGAGTACTTAACAGTTACGTAATGTCAGTTCTCCTCTATGGCAGTAAATGCTGAACAATCTACTCACTTGAAGTCTCTTCTTCATCTGTGAGTAGATTGCAACAGAAATGTAGTTCCACAGAAAGATGCTGAGAATACCATGAATTAAACATGAGACGAAATTTTAGAGAGAATGGGAACAAAAAGGATAATTATATTTAACATCAAGAAGAGACAGTTGAAATTTCTAGGGCACATAATTAGAAAAAAGAGATTGGAAAATAGGAAACCCATAGGGGGGGGATTGAAGGCAAGAGGGACTAAAGAAAACAACGCATAACATACATAGACAGCATGAGTAAATGGATGGCGAAACAAGGTTTAGGAGAGATAACAAAAAGACAAAGCTACAAAGTACAAGAAATTGGGGAGAGCCATGATCACCAACTTCCTGAGCGGACATAGAAGACATGTGTATCGATATATTATTGATATAAAAAGTGTTTCATTAAGATGGATCAAAGTCATTAGTAAATAAATCAGTGTTATTCTTGAAAATTTATTTATTTCTCTGTTGGATCATGTTACTTAAGTCATTGCAATTATGTGTGAAAAATAATATCGTCCAAATGTCTACCAAATCTGAAAGAGAAAGAAAAAAATCATTAGACGCTTAAACTTAATACACATTAAAATCGGTCCAAGTTATTGGAACATCCTTTATGTGTGTTTCTTTTCCTCCTTCTATACACCTTTCTTTAACAAGGAAAAGAGTACTGAAATGTTACGTGATATCTGTGCTCCAGTATGTCAGTGAATGATGGACGATCTCCTTAAAGATGAAGAAGAGACTTGAAACAACAGAAATATGATTCTATAGAAGGATGCTGATCATACCATGGATCGAACATGTGAGCAACGATGAATTTTTAGAGAAAATGGAAACAAAAAGGAAACTAATACTTAACATCAGGAAGAGACAATTGAGGTTTCTGGGGCAGATAATGAGAAAGGAGGGCTTGGAAAATCTGATACTCACAGGACAGATTGAAGGCAATAGAGACTGAGGAAGACAAACGCATAACATATTGATGAGCTTGAGTAAATGGATAGCGGAACAGGGGTTGGGAAAACAGCAGAACGACAAGGTTTATTAAGAGTTACAAGGAATAGGAATATGTGGAGAGCCACAATCGCCTACGTCTTGAAGGGGCACCTCACATAAAGAAGGACATTATATTAATTCCTCGATCAAGCTCTGATGACAGTGGAGCAAAAACCGTTCTGCTGTTTCCAACGAAGTTTTTTTCGTATTACTATTTATTGTGGCTGTATTTCTTCTTTTCTTTTTTCGTTTTTTAATGCATGTTTTTTCTTATTAAATTTTGTACCCCTTTGATTTATTGCTTTTAATGTACGTTTATAATTTGGTTTGAAAAGAATCAGTTCATATCAAATTAGTTTTTGATGCAAAAATCAAAAGAACATTTATTTAGGATAAAACTACATAAGTAGTGATTAAAATTCCGTTTTAAATTCTTTGTTGTACAATATTTTTTAATTCAGAAAATATAAAATATTCATTCACAATGACGAGTGATGTATTGCAGTTAGTTCTATGATTTATAAGCGGTAGTTAATTTCCCTTTATGTTTAAGAAAAGAAGAATACGGTTATAGTAGAATTTAGACTGCTTCAGCGAGTTAATGAAAATCTACATGTCATTAAAAACTGATTGAAAGCAGACGGAACTGAAAGATACAAAAAGTTAACCGGAGTAAGAAAGACAACTTCGAAAGAAAGCCAACTGGCTACTGATTTATTGTAACTGATTTCAGTTAATTATAAGAACAGGATGTCTCAAAATATGCTACATTTATTAATTAGTTTTCTAATTTGAAGAAACATATTAATGTAATTTATTATGCACATTTGCATTGGCTCGAAAATATCGATGATCTTTTAACTTGGTGACCTTTTGTGTTAAGATGGAAAGTTTAGCATTCGCTACGAGTGCTTCTATTGGTTAGAAAATGTAGACTCTAACCTTAAAATTTTCTCCTGTTTCTGCTCCTCTTTTAGCATAAAAAATAATTCAATTGACATTGCCAGCTGAATATTGACTGTCACAATATTGTGCTGAAGTAAAGTCAGCTTATTAAACGTCTGTCTTTCTATCTACCAGTTCGTGCATGTACATTCAAAATTCTTAACTGTTTACTAGCACTATGGACTATCATTTTGACAATAGGTC